GCACACTGGGAACATGGTGCTTGGCACACAGCAGACACCTGGGGCTTACCTTGGTGTCTCTGACTCCAGACCTTTCTGGTGAGTGAATCCCAGGCCTATTCACTGGGAACCCAGTATGAGATTTGGCCTGTGAGAAATAGTGGTAAGAGACTGTCTGAACCTGGGGGTGGGGCAGGCTCTCTTGTAATCACCCATCTTCTTTTGGGTATCATCAGAACAACTAAATAGCTTCATTATTTAATCTTAATTTTGATAGTTCTTGGTATTGCATAAAATATGAGGGGTAAAAACAGATTTCTCTTTTTCTTCCTCTTCCTCCTCCTCCTCTTCCTCCTCCTCCTCCTCCAGTACTGGGGATTGAACCCAAGGCCTCACTTCAGATGTGCTAGACAAATGTTTTACCACCGAGCTACATCCCCCTATCCTTGAACTCACTGCATAGCCATCTTCCTGCCTCAGTCTTCCAAGTGCTGGGATTATAGGTGTGTTCTGCCACAACCAGCTTATCATCTTTTTTTTTTTTTCTTCAGACAAAGTCTCATGTATCCCAAGCTGGTTTCCAAATGGCTACACAAAGATGAGCCTGAACACACACACACACACACACACACACACACGTCTGTGCAAGTGAACATGCCTGTGTATGGAGGCCAGAGGACAACCTCAGGGGTCATCCTCAGGAAGGTTACCCACCCCCTTTGATAGAGCCTCTCATTAATCTGGAGTTCACCAATTAGACTAGACTGGCTGGTCATCAGGGATACAGCTTGGGGTGTCTCTACCTCCCCAGCACTGGAATTACAGGCATTTGCCCCCTCAGTTTTCATGGTAATTAAACCCAGGACATTCTAGGCAGGCATTCTAACAACCAAGCTTCAGCCCCAGCCCCTCTTCCTTCTCTGTGAAGGAAGAAATGACTCCTCAACACTTCTAGGCAGCTGCACACTAGTCACTGTACCATTGCTGTTGAGTGTATTTCAACCCACTCTCCCACTTACACACACATGCACACACAACTACACAGCTTCCAGAGAGTAACATGTTTCTAGGAAAAACCAGTCTGCCTCAGGGTCTGTGACCTGGCTTTGCCCTGGGAGAAACTCCTCCATGGGGCACACGCCTGCCCAGAGCCTGCAGCCAACCTGCAAGCAGTTCTTGGCAAGTCCTGACAGGATGCCAGGCCGGCTGGCAGGCAGGAAGAGGGCTGCTCTCTGCTCACCCCTGAGCCTCTTTCCCTGCTGTAATTTGCTAAATCCATCTGGGGCTCCTTTGAGCCATTTTCTGGAAATGCCACATTTCAAGGCTCTCCCTGTTAGAAAAGGTCAGAGAGTTCATGCGGGCCTTTCATGTTAGACAAACTTGAAAGGAAAGGAAATGTATATTTTCAGCTTTAGCTATGATTAAGTGGGCTCAGACCATGAGAATAGCTGGATGATTTACATGACATTACATGAAGAGCCAATTAGCCTAACAACTTCCGAAAAATATTGAGCTTTAGAGCACCCATTTATTAGAGTCCTTGGAATGCGCAGGGCATTGTGCAAAGTTCTTTACTGGAAGCCAGTGGCTCACCCAACTTTACTCCAGCGTGTGGGAGAGGCGGGCCCAGGTTGGATGCTCACTCCACCCAGGAGGATGCTCACTCCACCCAGGAGGGCCAGTGACCTCCCTGGGTTTGCTCCAGCATCTGAGAGTGTTCATGGTTACCTGGTTCATTTGCATAAAGATGAAGTCTCCTTAAAGTCACCAGCTATGGCTTGGCCCCAGAAAACTTGGACCTCCCTACAGCTTGCCTAGTCCTCAGACTCCTTGGGAACTTGAGGGGAGTAGCCATCACAGAACATAGGAGATTCAGGCCTATGGCAGTGACCAATACAGGAGCCTAGGGTAGACCCCAAGAGATGGCAAAGGCTAGATAGAGCACTAGCACAAAATTTAGCCACTCAGGCACATCATCCTAAGAGATTCTCTCATCCCTGTTTTTTGAGACAGGGTCTTATGTACCCCAGGCTAGTCTTGAACTCATTATGTAGCCAAGGATGGCCACAAACTTCTGATCTTCATGCCTCCACCACCTCCTTAGTGCTAGGACTATAGGCACAAGCCACTGTGCCCAGTTTATGTGGTGCTAGGGATCAAAGTCAGGGCTTCATGCATGCTAGACAAGCCCTCTAGTCCTATTCATAGCCCCTCAAATAAGAGTCCCCTCCCCCAAATTAGGATCCTCTGCTAGTAATAAAGCTGGTTCTTCAGCATTTGTTTGTCAAGGCCACACAGCAGATAGAGTCCCTTGAGGGACCTCAGGCATCCTGCTGGACCACACTTTGGAGTGGGTTCTGAAATCTGGCCACCCGGAGTTGGAAGTTTGGCTCTCTCATTTTGAAGCTGTGAGGTCCTGGGCGACTCACAACTTCTCTAAGCTTTAGTTTCCTGATTAGTAAAATGGGGACAATCGTCCCTGTCCCAGGTATGATGATTACATGAGATGATGTGTCTGAAGCTCTTAGGGGTGCTGACATATTAATGATTCAGTGTATGATGATCAGTGAGTCAGTGGGGTGATGATCATGGACTCAGTGCTGCCCAGTCAGGGGACTCCTGCTGGGGTGCACCTGCTTTTTGTTTTTTGTCTTTTTTTTTTTTTTTTCAGATCGTCTCACTATGTAGCCCAGTCTGGCTTTGAACTCAACATCCTCCTACTTCTGCATCCTAGGTGTTGGGATTACATGTACCATCACACCCAGCTTGCACCTGCTTTCGGGGAAGAAATCCAAGTTCCTGGTCCTCTGTAGCGCTCCAAAGCCTCCTTACTTGGTTTTTCAGGTCCAGATGAATTTTATCTCCTCCAGGAAGCCAGGCTGCCCTGCTAGATTCTGCTGCACCTGCGCGCCTTCGGCCCAGTCTGTGTAAGCAATTGCTGTGAGCCCTCAGACTGCTTTCGGTGTGGCTGTGGAGGCAGAGATTACTCAGCCCTTCTGTCCCTGCTCTCCGCCTCCTCAAGCGCCTACCGCCCCCCGCCCCCCCAATCTAGTGAGGCTTGGAACCATGATCCCACAGGGCAGGGGTTCCCAGGCTCCGGAGATTTCACAGCTCTATAAAGTCATCCAAAGAAACTTGAGGATAGGAGGGTGAATAGATGGAAGGGATTTTCTTTTGCTAAATAAGGGCATTAAGAAAATTTCTTTCCACCATCATTTGCGTAGAGATAAAACTACTTCCATACCAGTAAGGCAGAGTGGCGGTAATCTGGTTAGAGAGAAATGGCAAGCTGGAAAAAAAAAAAAAATTATCCTTCCTTATTGAGGGGAAGAAAAAAAAAATCACACCTCCTAGACCTGCCTTTTTTCATGGTTGGAGAAAAACTGCATCTTAAATGGCCTGTGTCGATTGGGACGTCATGGTCTGCCAGCCGTTCTGGAGGCTACGGTGCCTAAGCTGGACCCCCCCCCATAAACACTGTAGGATCCCCAGAACGTTAGCTTTAGAGGTTTCCAATTTCAGTTCAACTTTCCCACAGGGGGCTTACCCCAAAGTCAGACCCTACAACCTCGGGGCTGAGGTGTGGGAAGCCCTGTCCCTGGGTCTTTCCTCTCCTGTGGCTTTTGGTCAGAGCACCCACCCTGCCCCCAATCTAGAGGGGCCAGGGTCAAACCTAGCAGCAAGCTGGCACCTATGGGGAACAAGACTTGGAAATGCAAAAGGCGGGGTTTGCACCGTGTATCTCCATTGCTAAGCTGGCCAGTTATGGCCAAGTCCCTCCAAACCCCCCACCAGCTCTGGGAAGAGAGCTAAAATGGGAATTCTATCCCAGAGGTAGGGGACCCAGGAGCCCTGCTGGGCGGTAGCAGATAGGATCTCAACACAGAGAAGCACAGCCCTGGCTCTTTGATCCCCAGCCAGCCAGGCTGGGCCTAGACCGGGAGGGGCGGTACGGCTGTCTTCCGGCCGGCTTTGCGCCGCTGCCAGAGGTCCTGTGTGGGGCCCTGAGCCAGAGGCGGCCAGTTACCCTCCTCCACAAAATACCCTGTCTTAATCGCTCTAGGAAGAGGTGGATGGGTCTTCACTGAATACAACACTGAAAATTGCTTGGGACGGGTGCGTGTGTGTCTTAAGTTCACTATACTGCGACCCAAAGGGCTCAGTGTCTTGCAGGCGTAGGGACCAGCCCAGGCCAGCCGTGCCCTGGAGAACCGCGTGGATACGGCCCCGGGTGCCAAGGAGATGCCACGGGTCAGGGGCTCGCGAAGGCCCAGACTGAGTTGCTCCGGGTCGAATCCCACGTGGCTGCCCAGAGTCTCGATTCCTGGGCCTCCGGTTCTAGGCAGTTGAAGTTAGTTGGGACAATCTTGGGGGCGGGGGATTGGAGAACTGGCATTAGCACAGGGGTCCTTCACCATCCCATGTGCGCCTTGGAGCCGCCACAGGGCTGAAGGGCTTGTCACAATGTGATGCTTAAGTTGGGCATGCCACAGACGCTTAATAACTGTGGGAGGCGTGTGTGCTGTTCCTACGTGGGCAGACGGTCTGGAAGCAAGTCCCTGATTGGCACAGGGATGGTAGATAGGGCAGAAGGGGCCCTTGAGCAATCCTAACCCGGCCTATTTCTTAGGGGGTCCGAGTCCAGCCTCCAGCAGCCCCAGAGCCTAGGAAGCCTCCAGATCAGGCACTGGACGCAGTTCACAACCAAGGCTGGGGATCCAAATCACCCACACGTCCCAAGGGTCTGGGGAACCAGCACACTCCGCAGCTGGAGGACAAAGCTGGGCGCAAGTTGGGAGTAGCTTGCAGCCATGGAAGTGGACTCCAGGGCTTCCTCCAGGGCACGGTGCAGGAGAGGGGTGCTGGCGTGCCTACGGGACGGGGGATAGGGTTCGCTGAGGGAGAGCGAGCCCTTTAAGACTGTGCCCAGCGGGAGCGTCCCGGGCTCTCCCGGGAGAGGGGGCGGGGCTGGGTGCTCTGCCCCGCCCACCAGCCGGGCCCGCCCCTGGGGTGCCCGCCCCGCCCCCGGCACTCCGCCGGCGGCGCCTTTGATGTTCCGACCCGCCAGCTCCCGGAGCAGCTCTGCCCGGCGCCCTCGCCCCGCGCCCACTGCCCACTCAGGCGGAGTCAGCCCGCGCTCCGCCCGCCGCGCCCCGGGCTCGGAGCTCCCGACTCTGGGCTCGCCGGCTCCGCGTCCCGCAGTCCCCGCGCCCCGGCGGGCGGAGCGCACCATGCCGCAGCTGGACTCGGGCGGGGGCGGCGGCGACGACCTCGGCGCGCCCGACGAGCTGCTGGCCTTCCAGGACGAAGGCGAGGAGCAGGACAAGAGCCGCGACAGCGCCACGGGCCCCGACCGGAGGCGCGGGGGGTCCGGGGCCCGGAGTCCCGGGGCACCGCGAGGCCGAGGCCGGGGCGGAGGTGAGCCCGGCCCGCGCACGCTTGTCGGGGTGGGGACCGCGCCGAGCCGCCCCTCGCGCCCGCGGCCCTCGTGGGTGCGCATCCCTCGGGTCCCGCGTCGCTGCGCGCTCACCACCCTCTGCTTGTCCCCGCAGGCTCTGGGGATCGAGCACTCTTCGCAGAGACTTTTCGCGGACAAACTTCCAGAGTCCCTGGAGGACGGTGAGCTCTGCGCGGCCCGGCGCCCCCGTGTCCCCCCTCCGAGGCCCCGGGCCTGGGTGCGAAAGGGAGGGAGCCCAGGGGCTAGACTTCCCCCCACCCCCGGCTGGGGAAGGCGCTCTAACCACGGGTGGGGGAGTTGGGGGGCGGGTTTCCCGAGCGCTAGCGAGCTGGAGTCACTTCCGGTGCCCTGACCTTTATAGGAGTAAACAGACCCCCGCCATCTCCACCTCCCCTCCTGCCCAGGTGACTGACTAATCCCTTGCCTTGAAGAGCAAGCCTGGCCAAGGTTCCCTGGCTGGAGGGCCGTGTGGGGAGTCAAGTGGGGGGCCGCTTAGTGGAGGCCTGGATTCCGGGTCTTCCCCCCGCCCCAAAACTTGGCTCTGCGGACACCCACAACAGTCCCCTATCAAGCCAGGAACTTGAAGGGGACCCCTTGGGCAGTTCTTTTTCGCTCTTGAGCACACAGCCTCCAGGCCTAGCGAGCAGCTGCCCTGGCTGGTGTCTGACCCAGCTGTGGTTTTTCCAGGCCTGAAGGCCCCCGAGTGTGCCAGCGGCATGTACAAAGAGACGGTCTACTCTGCCTTCAATCTGCTGATGCACTACCCACCCACCTCAGGAGCAGGGCAGCATCCCCAGCCTCAACCCCCGCTGGTAAGTGACCCCAGCAGCCAGGGCCATTGCTGGGGCTGGTTACCTCCTTGACCATACAGGTGAGATTTGTACAGGAAGTGACCTCCATAAAATGCTGTGGGTAGATGAGAATTCCTAGTTGCTCTTTATTCCCACATACCCAATGGGATCTGACCCAGAGGGGAATCCTGAGAAGGGGTGCCTGAGCTCCCCTCGTACTGGTGGGAGCTGTTTGTATCTCAGCTTGGTCATAGGCAGGTGCAGGTCTAACCCTAGTGTTGAACCATGCTGGGGTGAGGTCTTCTGGAAACTCTTTTGAGCCCAGACCGTGCCCTACTGGAGCATGATGCGCTTTGAGTTGAGAACTTTGCGGTTAGCTTTTTAAACCAGGGAAGAATAGGGCAGAAGAGGCAGTTTTTTTTTTTGTTTTTTTCCAGAACTCCTGGTTGTGCAAGGAGATACGTTCACCGTTCTTCTGGCTTGGTCTCAGACACATCAGGAGGGGTTTGAGAGATGTGCTACAAATCAGGGGTGTTGGTGAAGTGTCAGCTCCATAAATTAGTGAGTTGGGCTTTGCAAGGCATGCTTGTGATCATCACTAGTCAGCCTTTGTTTGGGTGAAGTATGAAAAGCCAGCTCAGTGCTGTGCATGTCTATAAAGTTCCTGCTAGGTTTCTAGACTGGCCTAGGTTGGGAACCAGGGAAAGTTCAGAGGACTGGTAGGTAGATGTTGGATAAGGCTGTAAGCCCAGGGCAGGTTGGAGCCCCAAGCCAGAGACTTGTAAAGCCAGTGACTGGGTCAACCCAGAGGAGGTGAGGGTACCTGTGGGGAAAGTGGTTCTGAGAGCAACTTCCTGCTGAAGCTGGTGGGAGGTGAGAGGAAGATGGATTCCGGGTGTTCTCCAGAAACAAGCATTGGTCAAGGTTCCCTGGCAAGAGAGTGCCATGGGGAGTTAGGTCCAGGCCCCTTAGCTGGGGAGACCTGATAGACTCTAGAAATAGACCCCCTTTTCCTTACCTGTAAGCCGAGTATGTGGGCTGTGTGGTCTGCCTGACTTTCTACTATGGTGTGGCTTGGTATATGAGGAGGTAGCATGCTCCCAACACTGCCACCTGATGCCGCCACTCACCCCAGAGACCTGTGCCCTACACAAGCAGATGCTTAACAAAGATAACCTTTTTGATCCCCTATTAGTTATAAAGCCATTGATCTGGGGGCCAGTTGGCATAAGCTCCTACTTTCAAACCATTGGCAGGCATTGCTTGTGCTAGGACTAGGTTCAGTTGTGATAACCATGACTACACAAAAGGCAGAGGCCCCAGAACCTTCCTGGCAGGGTGGGCTCCCAGGACTGCACAGTGAAACGGGGAGAAGGCTGCGGTTTGGAGGGCTTCTTACTGCCGAGAGCCTGTGCGGGAGGAGGTGTGTCATTCAGCCTCAGGATGAGAGGGATGGGATGGGACTCGTGGTCAAAGAACAGGATGGTGGACTCCACAGCCAGGACCATTACCTGGCCTGAGACTGCATAGGTCTGCTTCAGAGTCCTCAAGCTGCAGGAAATGCATGGCTATGTGTCACTGCCCTCCTGCCCTCTTTCTCTGACCGCCACCGCCACTCCTGGCTTCTGGGAACACAAAAGGAAGAGGCTCCATACTGACTTTCTTGGCCATGACGTCAGGTGCCAGGGGACTGGAGACAAGGACAGAAATGGGCTTGTATTGGAGGGAGGACACTGGGTAAAGGAAGACGTAGGGGAATGTAGAGAGGCCCTTTTAAAAAATTTTATTATGTGTGTGTGTCTGTGTGTATGTTTCTGAGGTGTATGGGGACATGCACACCACAGTGCTCATGTGGAGACTGGAGCAAAAGTATGGGGTCTTGTTTTCTCTTTTCACCTTTACCTGGGTTCTAGGGATTGAACTCAGAGCTTCAGGCTTGCACAAATGTTTTTAACCGCTGAACTGTCTCCTTAGCCCAAGAGCATATCTTTTAAGCAAATCTTACAACACATAGCAAATAGCTTGTATCACCTGAAGAATTGTGTGGATATTTCAAGTATAGTTGGGATTTTTTTGTTTTGTTTGAGACAGGGTCTCCTTGTAGCCCCAGCTGACCTGGAACTCGCTATGTAGACCAGGCTGGCCTCCATCTCACAGAGATCCTCTTGCCTCTGTCTCCCGAGTTCTGGGATTAAAAGGTATGCACCACCACGCCTGGCTTATAGTTGAGCTTTACAAGGCAAAACTGGGACATTTGTCACCTGACACAGAGCTGGTGTGTGGCACCAGGAAAGACCCTTTCATAGCAGGGCAGGAATATCTTGTAAGGGCCCTGAGGAACAACAGCCTGAGGAGGCTTTTGCCAAAGCTAGTCCTTTCCTCCCAAGCCCCTTGCCCAGATCCTGCCCACTGGCCTTAGGGTAGACCCCCACTTTACCCATCTGAGGGCATCGAAGAGATCAGCAGTTCCTCAGAGATGCCTGAGACGCCTATCATGGTATCAGGAAAGGTCTGCTCTAGGGACCTTCTCTGTGCACGTGTAAGTGCGAAGTCCATGTGGCTGCCATGTTGGAGACATCCCGAACAGGCGGCTCAAGCCTTGTCAGAGCTAAATGTCCAATTTACAGCCGTTTGCCATGGAACAGGACAGACACCCCAGCCCCAAGTGGCCTGTTTGGTGATTGGCTTCTTTTAAGCTTTCTTTGGGAAGGGGAAATTGGTCAACGTTAACTCCTTGACTGGTATTTGAAGGCAGTTACTGGCTTAGACCAGTAACCATTGTGTTGCCGGGGGTAGGAGGTAGTCACCTTAGGCCCGTTGGACTTGACAGCAGGCGCCTTTACACACAGAACTCCCCGCCCCTAGCCGCTCCTTAAGTCCGTACTTTCCCTGCTCTGGGACCAGGAACAGAGTTGGAGTGGGGAGGGAGGATAGCATGCTGATCCTTTAGGCTGGGCTCTGGGACTGGCTTTGGGGATGATCAAGACATCATGGGCCTAGTGGATTTGCAGGCCTGTAAGTCTGATTCTATCTAATGTGACTCTGGCCCTTTCTATGGGCTCCACTTGGAGCCTGTGGCCTGGAAGACTGTGGAGCCTTTTGCCATTCAGATGAAATATCCAAAACAGCCAGATCCACAGAGACAGGGCAACTTAGTGATTACCAGGGGCTGAGAGAAGAGGAGAGTGGGTATGCGGTTTCTTTTCTGGGGTGAGGAATACATTCTGGAATTAGGTAGTGGTGGCCATTGTACAACCTTACATAGCTACTAAATGCCACTTAATCTGGCACTTTAGAGTGTGCATTTTATGGTGTATGGATTACATCTCAATTTGTTTTAAAAAGGCCAAGGTTTTTGGTCATGGCAGGGGCCATGTTTCCCTGTCCCTGATCTCCATAACTGTCCTGGTACCTGATTATATCTCCAGACAGGGGGCCATAGCAGCTGCTGCAGTTTGAGGAGTGAAGGGAAGCATGGACTTTCACCTGGGCCTCTGGCCATCAGGCTCTTCTCTGTGTCCCTGGGTTGAGGTTCAGATGAGCCCTGGGGGAGAAGGGCTGGGGGTCTGAGCAGCACTCATACGAGCAGAGGAAGGAAGTGCTGAGCTGACGTGGCTCCCTGTTGGAGTTGGGTAAGCAGTGACCCCTACCTAGCCCCTCACATATCCAAGAAAGGTTTCCTGGGTGGGTTGGGGATGCTGGGTACCAGTCTAGGGCAGACTAAAGCTTGTTAGGGGGACTGTGGCACCAGGCTGTTCCCACAATCTAGGCCCCCACATGACCGTAAGCAGGGCTGTCTCTGGGAGTGTCTAGCTGTCACAGAAGGTCCAGCTCTGGGTGTCTTTGGCAGATCTGGCCCCAACATCAACTTGGGGGTGGGAGTGAGGGAAGGCTTTGCAGTGATTAGTACTGTAAGCTGCAGGTTGTCCAACACAGGAAGACAAAGGGCCCAGCATGCACCTGGGCCTCCCTCCAGACACATCCTGAACCTTCTGCTTCTTCACTTTGTCATGCCCCACCCCCCATGCCCAGGCTACTGCTGTCTTACCCAGATGGCAGCATTGCCTCCCAGGGTCCCTCTGCTTCTCTCTCCCTCTCTGACCTACACTTTAACCCATAAGCCAGGCTTTACACAGCAGCCAAAGAAGGCCTTGAAAGCCTAAGTCAGATAGATCTCTTGCCCAACTGAACCATCTAGTGTTTCCATTGCTCTTAGAGGAAAGGCCAAACCGTCTACCACAGCCCAAATGCCAGGGTCTCCAGCCTCCTCTGCCTCTTCCCCAATACAGTTTGTCCTGGTGGCTTACACCTGGAAAATTCCTTCCCACCTCAGAGCTTCGCTCCTTCTCAGCTCATGGGCTCTGCCCTTTCTTTTCTCACTCGGTGCTTAGTTCAGATACCATCTGAGGGAGCCTCCTCCAACCAGCAGTGCCATGGCTCCCTTGCTCACCCTGGCAGCTCTTCAGGCTGAGGCAGTGGGCGCTGCTGTGCAAGGAACTCAGAGCCAACATCTCCTGGCTCCCCCACCTGGACAATGGATTTAGTAAGTGCTCCTTTCACCCTCAGAGCGAGGACTGGCAGTTTTGCCAGAGAAGTTCCCAGGATTCTTCTCTCTTACTATCTTGGTTCTCCTGGAGTCAGGTGGTTCACCGGCCTTCACATGGATGTCCATCTTGAAGGCTATGTTTCTACTTTGGGCCAGAGAGGTCTGGGCATCAGAACCCTGGGGCTCAGGTATATAGGCTCCTACTTGGTGCCTGACCTACCCCAGGGATTCTTGGGAGAAGTACTATTCCTGCAAATCCTTTCCCACCACCACAAAGGTTTATTTATTCCATATAAAGCCTTTTATGCATCATATGAAAAAATGAGGTGGTTTTGTAAGAAAAAGGGAGGTGAGCTTTTCAGTCACTGACCTCTGAGCCATGCATGGACCTTTTCTCCCCATCACCACATGCATGTTCCTGGGTCGTAGGGCCGTGTGGAGGCACGGCCCCAGGCAGCAAGCAATCATGAGTTCT